AGGAGAGCTGCAAGGTAAATGTAGATGAGGGAGTGTGGTATGTTACCACTGATACAAAAGAAAATGGGACATGGTGGTGCATGCCTGTAGCCCCAGCACTTGGGAGGCTAACGGAGAAGGATCTCAATTGACAGCCAACCTGGACTACATAGTGAGTTCAAGGCTGGCCTGGACTACTAAATAAGACCCTGTCTCAACACTCAAAAACATAAAATTGAAAACAATTTATATATAAGTACATAGGAGGATTCCCAAGAAGACAGTAATGCAGGTTACTTCTAGGAAGAGTACCAGCAGCCAAGGTGTACAAGGAGGTTGTCTTCAGTACTCTTACAATATTGGAATTCTGTATCAGATTCTTATTGAAAAACAGAAAATTTCACAAATCTCACAAAAACTGGAAGCAATGCCATTTATTAAGAAAACTACTTTTGACAGAGCAAATCTCTAGCCATAGCTGATTTTGGTTAATGCAGTGAGTGAGAGTGCTTGGGATGGCTCAAGATAGTTATTGACACTTAAGTTGACATAAAAACTGCTGGCCTTTAGGCCAGTGTGGAGAGAATCATGCATCTCATTAGTATTTTCTGTGTTGTCACCTCCAGAGACAAAGTGGTAGCCTAGCAGAGCGTGGGCTTTGTTTTTTTCTTATGCTCTAACAAGAATTTCTTGAAACAATGTAATATATAAATATGCAAAAAAAATATCTTTTAGATTGGCAGATTTGCTACCTAACCTTTTTCTTCCTCTCTGTTCGACATTTTATCTCCAAAAAGACCAATTTGATGAGGAATGCTACAGGCTTTGACATTTTAAATTATGTGGTAATATTTATGTTGGGTGTGTTACATGGAATTTTTGAAAGCAAATCCTAAATTGACACAGTACGCCACTGATAACAGTAATCAAATGCCTTCTTTATAATGTGTTGGTGTTTGATGGGACGATTCTTTCCTAAGAAAGAATATTAAGGAAACGTGGAGGAAAATTTGACACTGGTTTTCATAGTTTTTAGTAAGATTACATTCATGGAGTTTTTAAAACCTGAGTAGTTTCCCTCCTTCCCCTGGTTTATCTGAAATTTAGAAGAAAACGTAGAGCCCTGAGCCACTGTTGTAGTGGAACAACCTCTGCTTCAGGTGTCGCATAAGTGTAGGTCTCTGAAATCCCAGCTCACCTAAATCTAATCGTACAGCTTGTTCTCTCCAGCACCACAGTGTACACGGTCAGAACCTCTCTGGTCCAGGTGGCCGTATCCATCTCCCTACTTGAAGTTTCCACTTGTGTGTGTAACTGACATCCCAAACTTACTGTGTCCCAAGACGGACTCTTGATTTTCACTTGCTTTTGACTCTCAAAAAGCAAAATTTCTTCATTTTAGTATACTATAAATTATCATTCCCTTCCTTTATGATTAGTAATGTTCATGTCCTGTTTAATCTTTCCTTACTCCAAAGTCATGAAGATAGTCTGTGTTTTCTTTGAAAGCCTGTTTTACCTTTTACATTTGTATCTATAATCCCTATAGAATTAATTTTTATATATAATATAAAATGGAAGAGTCAAGCGTCATACTTTTTTCTCATGAATATTCAGTTAACATTTTTAAAAGACCATCTCTTGTTAGAGTGATTTTTTTTTTAAAGCCAGATCATGAGATTTCCCCTTTTTCACAATCCTACAATTGGTTTTCCATTGCATGTAAAATAAAATATGTACTTCTTACCGTGCCTCGTTTGCCTGATGTCTGAGTCCTCTTTCAGCTGCCCTCTTACCTTTCTGTCCCCCGTCCTCTGCTCTAGGTCATTGACCTCCTTGTGTTTCTCAGTCTTCCAGGTGCACTTACAAAATTCAGGCTTTTGCACGTGCAGTTCCTTATACACAGAATCCTTTCTCCACATCATATCACTCATCAGTTCTCTGCTCAGAAGAACCATCTAATCACTACATCTAACATTAATGAGTAAACAATTCATAAAAGTGTTTTGTGCATATATATTAATGATGTCTCTCCTACTATATTGTGATTCGAGAGAAGGAATCATGCATTATTTATTTTATATATTTTATTTGCATCATAATATATAAAACTCAAATAGAGCCTGAAGTATAATGCATACATTGTTTTATTGTTTTGCCTGCATTAGTCCCAGATTATTCATACCCTGATATAATTTGGATGATCTGTGGTGAACATCAATTCTTTGTACATTTTTTTCTAAAAGAGGGAATGCTCACCAGACTTTATGGTGACACTGAGTAGAGACATATTCCGAAGTGACGTCTTTGTCCAAGTAGTGAAATAAGAAAGCCATCTAGACATGGCAGCAGCTGCATCTGTGCGTATACAAACACAAAATGACAGGTTCAGTTTTCCTGATAGGTAATCATTTAAGGACCTGAATAATTCTGCAGCTGTGGTGTTGGTTGGCAACAAAAGCACGCATTACATATCATCATCCACATCCTCCTGAAAAATATGTCACAAAAACAAGAATTGTTGCCTCATCAACATCGGTGGACTCATCAGCCACTAAGAGTGATGTTTTCAATACAGACACATTTGATGAAGTGGCTGCCTTCAATAATGGCTTTGGTTCTTTGTGTTTACAATTTTCTTCTTTTGAAAAACTCCAGAGGCTTATCTACACAGGGCTTGGTCTCCGTGTGGTGAAGTGGTTTTGAAGGATTCATGGCTTCATCAGGTAGTTGGTCATCACATATTATACAAAGCAGGCTTGGAGAATGTGAATTGCTTGTTAGAATGAATCTGTACTTTAAGTAGGACTCTTGGTATTTTATTTTATAGGAAGCTTTCTTTTTCTTGTCAGTCTTAGAGCCTTCTGCTAACTTAGCATTAGGTCATTCCCCCTTTTCGGAGAAGCTCTCCAGTGATATTAGGGTTAGTTTAGGGTTAGTCTATGGGCTTACCTAAACTGTGCTTGAGACAAATGTGCCGTTCAGGAAATTGGTGCAGCTGGAAGTGGTAAGTACAATAATGGTTGGGCCAGACACAGACCAAAGTGTCAGACTCTGATGTAAAGACTGCCGCCAGATGCGTGTCATTTGCTACTCACTGATAGGGTTTTGATCTGAGTCTGGAAGTAACTGCTGTATTATGGTCTCTGCAGTCAACCCTGTGCTTATGTTCATCTGTATTTGCAGCCACTTTCCGGTGCTAGCATCACCGCCTCACTCCACCTCAGATCATCAGTAGCTTCTCAGGAGGAGCACTCAGCCTAGATCCTTGGCATTCACAGTTCACAGAGTTCACACACAGTGGGGATGAAATGACCACTGCTGTGACAAGAGGCAGAGCTGAGGTGGTAATGTGAGTACTGAGGAGCTGCTGTAATTGCAGATGAAGTTTTACCTGCTCCCTGGCCACTACTCACCTCCTGTGGTATATCCCAGTTCCTGACAGGGAACCAGAAATACCCGGGCTAAGTCCAGTTAAATTTTACATGTTGGCTGGAAAACCTAGAAGGTGCCAGTAGCCTTATAAAACCAGGCTCTATTTCTCCTCTAGCAGTGCTATTACTCGTATTTCAGGTTTACAGAATTGCATTTTTAAGCATTTTATAACCTAGACTTAGTGATTCTCTTTTATTTAATTTCACATTATGGTTATTCTGAGGCTACATGCATATAAGATTTGGTTTTTAGGCAAGAATTAGGCCTGTCTTCCATTTGGTTATATGTTAATTCTGTCAAGGTGGTTATTTCACCATTGGTCATATTGTTTTTCATCTCTTAAAACTTTATTGTCTGATGCATATGATTCTTTTGTCAATCATCAAATGTCATAAAATTGCTGAGAAGAACTATTTATTCTCACAGTATTGTGGGTTGAATAAAGGCCTTCACACTAAGTTACA